TGGCGAGGGCCTGCCAGTTGCAATTTTCTGCAGACGAAGTAAAGGCCCGCCCTGCCTAAATCCACGGCGCCACTGCTGCCTGGGATGAGGGGCATGCCTGGCTGCACAGCCAGTGAAAATCCCCCCAGCACCTCTCAAAAACCTGGCGGCCATATGGACCTGGAGCCCCGGGGCCAGATAGCACGGAGGAAACCCCAGTTCCAAAGCGCGGTCCAGAACAAAGTCCCAGCAGAGACGGTCGCTGACAAAACTTGCTACATCCCAGAGCAAGCTCGCGCTCTGATGGCCTTAGCCCAGCCCGATCGGTCCGAGGTTCGCAGTCGCCCCCGAAAACAAACAACCCAGGCCACGAAGCCCATCGCTCGGTCGGAGCCCTTGTCTTTGACTCGGAGCGCGACAAGCCCCACCGGGGCCTGCCAGGGCCAACACACTTCCTGCTCGACCAGCGCGTACAAATCAGCTAGCTGCAGGCCCAGCGGCGGCAGCCACTGGAAATCCTTCGTAGGCAGCCCATCTACACCTGGGGCTTTCTCAGGCAGGGCCGAGATGACCCCACGGAGCCAATCGGTATCTAGCGGGGGGCGCGGTTTCTGCTTGGCCTTCGACTGGGCCCCGCGCCAAAGGGCCCGAGCCCTGAGAAAAGTAAAGCTGTCTCCTGCCCACTTGCCTGCCCAGATCGCGGCCTTGACAGCCACTCTCTGGCAGGAGTCCTTAGCCGCCCACCCCCCCCCCCCCCCCCAGCCCGAACCTCCCCGACGCGCGCCGACTTGTCTCTGATGCGGCTATAGAGGCCTCGGCCTCCGGCCCAGCCCTGCTGCGTGACCCACTGGTGGAAACAAGCGAGAGTGCCATTCAAAACCGCATGCTGGGCCAGCACCGAGCTCTTTCTAGCTCTAGCTTCGAAATCTCTGACAGTCCGGTCGGGGGCCCCTCTGAGAACACGCAGGCCTCGGACCCATTCCGAGCGAGGTCTTCGCTGTGAGCGGCAAGAATGACGAGACTGGGCGTCGTCGAGGCCATGCCCCTGAGTCGATCGAAAATTCTGCCAAGCCTGCGCTGCGATCCGCCCCCAAGGAAGCCGGCCAGGTCCGAAAGTAAGAGGCCCAGGGTAGCCCACCAGTTGGCCACAGGACACCTGGAAGACACAAAATGAGCACCCTGGGCCTCGGGTCGCGATTGGAGCTCACAGTTCAGACGGCCCTTAAATCCATGCTGGTCTTCAGGGTGCTCTTTATGCACAACACAGAAGAACACTTCAAAGCGTGAGACCCACTTGGCAAAAGCAGAGCCTACTCCCACGGGTGATCCTTCTGCTCCTTCGAGATCGCGAGAAGCTGATGGCCTGGCGCACTCTGCTGCTCGGAGACTGTCCGATGATGGTGCTCCGCCTCTACCTCCACGATGGAGCGGTCGCGCGGCTGCCCATGGCTCGGGGGCGGGGCTGCGCGGCGTTCCCAGAGCCGCCCCCATGCCTGCGCGCCGCCCCCCCCCCCCCCCCCGTCGACTGTAGCCCCGTCCACGCTGCCCCTCCAGCAACGGCTCGCTCTCCACCCTTCGCGTCTGCAGAGGCCCGAAGGCCCGCGGCGCTCGGGCGGGCCCACGGGCACTGCAGAAGACGAATCCACGTCTGCACCAGCATCGGCGGCCCCAGCATCAGCAAGACATGGCGACTGAGTCCTGCCCCTCTCGCCGCTGACCTCTCGTGAGCACCTGGGGGCAGGGGCTCGCGTTCGAACCAGCGGCGTCACTGCCCTACCCCTCACGCTGTTCACCTCTTGGGTGCACCTGGGGTAGGGACTTGCGATCGAACGCCAGCATCTGATTCGCATCCAGCACCGCCTGGCTCCTCCATGGAGTCGTCTTCCTCCTCCTCTATCTCCACTATGCCCCAGTCGACGTCCGTAAAGTAGCAGATCGAAAGTGGCGACTTGAATCCAATCACATGGCGCTTCTTCAACGTCGCAGTCGCCGCTGGCGGCGCAACCTTTTCAGTCTGCCCCATGCGCTGCAATCTCAACTTCCGAGTACTCTTGCTCGAAGGGTCTTTCTACTTCTTGGGCATGGGGGTAGACGGATCTATCTGCGAATGGCAGTACCCACCTGGATGCCTGCCCAAAACTTCAGCTTCAACCTGAGATGCATACCGAACTGCGCTCTGCCTCCTTCATGGCAGACTGTGTCGTCCACAATGTAGGATTCCATAAATCTGGCCATGGATGGCGACACTACCATAAAAGTCAATCACTCTCCTTACCAAAAGTACGCGGGTAATCTGAACCACCTGCCGTGCTGATGATACCCTCCACCAGCCTGGGCCAGCCAATCTTCTCCAATTCGTGCGGCTCCGCGTGACATCACAGATAGCCAACCAAGGTGTGCGGATGCTCTGGGTCAGCTGGCCCATCTGGATTAGCTTGTCAATGTTCGTGCCTGCCAAGCCGATGCCGGCAGTGAGGTGCACCCCCAAGATGGTGATCGACTGTCTTCCGATCTTCCGCTGCAACGCCACTAGGCCCTTGAAGTCTAGGCCCCTCTGCTTGGTGTCCTCTTGTCCGTCAATCATCCTGAGCCCCAGCTGCTGCGTAGGCTTGTTCGCCAAGTGACTGAACGACTGGAACTGGTGGCGCTTCACCGCTCCTGCTGAGATGCATCCTGCTCTCTTCACACCACTCGTAGGGCACGACGGCGCAACTACCGCCTGGTAAACCGATCTATTCCATTCGTGCAGGACTTCGTGGTATTCTTCTGGAAGAATATGCAGTTCTTGAAATATGAAGACATCGTGGTCCCATTCCTTCAGAAGGCCCTTCGATGGACACCCCCACCAAGAGAGACTTCTCATGTACAAGCTCTTCACATCTTGGTCCACAGCATCAAAGGCCCGAACCTTCTCCCTGTCCCTTGTTGGCTCGATAGCCCCCCACCAAGCCTTCCACCTCACGCTCGAGGCGGGCCAATTGGGGGTCCAGACTGCCACCTTCCCCGCAGCTGCGGGTAGAGGGATCGACCTTTGGCCATCTCCTGGGACAAGGATTTGGGCCGCCCCCTCTGCTGGTGCCCCACCTCCTGAGCCAGGTGGCCTACACGAGGGTGGTGAAGCCTCTGGCACCTTCCTCTTCCTCTTCGCCCTCTCGACAACGGCCGCGAGCTGCTCCTTGTGCCGGTCGGTCTGCGCCTGCAGGGCTCCGCATGACGCCTGAACTGCCTCCGGAAGAGCCTTCTGCAGCATCTGCTTGGCCCCGTCGAACACTTGGCGATCTTCTACCAGCACCTCGAGCCCCTCCAACTGCGATTCGAAATTGATCCCCAACTCAAACTTGCCGTCCAAGAGCTGCTGCACACCAACAGAGGCGGTCTCCTTGGCTGGCAGAGCTGCGCGGGGCAAGAACAGCTCTGCCGCTGCAATATCCTCAGACTCGGCGCGCTGCACCTCCACAGTGGCATCGCGCAGATCCTTGTCTGCCCTCTCTCGAGATCCTTCTGACTTCTCTGCCTTCTCTCGCTATCCTTCTCTGCCTTCTCTGCCTTCTCTCGAGATCCATGGTGGCATCGCGCAGATCCTTCTCTGCCCTCTCTCGAGATCCCTCTCTGACTGTCGTGGCCCCTGCGAGAGGTTCCCAATGTGGTCTCGGCCGGTCCAGCAAGTCACGCGGGAGGACGCGGGGGACCAAAAACGCACAGCACCTTCCGCACCCTCCAAGACGCCCAAGATGGCCCCGATGATGGCCTCCAAGGCGGCCCCAGACGGTCTGAGATGGCCTTCAAGACTGCTGGGGCGCCTCCAAGACGGGCAAGACAACCACAAGAGAGCCAAATATGACTCTATGACGGCCCACGCTGACCTCCAGACGGCGCATGAGACCCCCAAGGGCTTCAAGATGACATCAAGTGAACCATAACCGCTGGTGATCCTTTGGCTCCCTCATGGTATTCGCATTCTCGCCTTCTTGGGCTTCCGACAACCAAAGACGACCCCGAAGGCATCCGAGCTAGCTTCAGTACGGCCCCACTAGACCTCCAAGACGGCCCCAAATCGCCCAAAGAGGCGCCCAAGACGGCGGCCTAGTGAGGTTCCCAAGAAGATCCCCCCCCTCCTCCTCCTCCTTCTCCTCCTCCTCCTCCTTCTCCTCCTCCTCCTGCTCCTCCTCCTCCTCATCCTCCTCCGTCATCACCCTCACCCTCACCCTCATCCTCCTCCATCATAACTTCTCGGTATAAGCGTTCTCTCCCTGTCGCACCCGCAGACGACTCAGTAGGCGCGCCTGGCATTTAGCCTGGGACTTCCTCAACACTCATGGCCCTGAAGATCAACAGCTGTAACAGCTTCAATAATGGGGGGGCTTGGGGGGCAACATGTGCATCTCGCCTTAACGCCGCGCAGTCTTAAAACATAGAGGCCGCTATCAGGGTGGAGCACTACCAAAATATATTATGATGATCGCTCGTCTTATAAAACTACACCCACTTTAAGGATGGAATGTGCCTCGTTTTCAAAATGTGGTTCTCGCCTTGGCGCAGCGCGATATCGTCTTAAGTACCCGAGACGTGCCAAACCCATGTGACAAAAAAATGGCCCCGCTGCATGCAGACGGTCGCATGCAAAGAGACGCAATGTGTTATGAAAGCTACCTGGGGGTGCTCACGCGTTTCACGACTCACGGGACAGATTTGAATAGTGCAGTACCCTGGAATACGCGAGCGCGATGGTGTCGTGCGTGTGGCACCAATGCACTGGGCCTCCACGGGGCCCACAGGAGTGGCGCTGGCTGCGCAGGTGGCAGCACCCCCAGGCAGCCGCGAGGTCCAGTGACGCCGCTGCGCCGAGGATTCTCCCGAGAGCCCACAGAACTGGAGCCCATTGCGCAAGCCGCAGCACCCACGGAGAGCCGCGACGAGCGGTGGGGAGCTGGGCGGCGACGACGGCGGCGGCGGCAAGGCGGCGGCGATGCAGCGGCGAGGCGGAGGCAAGGCGAAGGCGAGGCGGCGGCGAAGCCGCTGGCCGGCGGGGAGCTTGCCGTTCCCGCCAGCGCCGCGGCGATGGGTCGGCCTGCCGCCCCGCCGTGCGCCGTGGCGGGCCTCCTGGTCGGCACTCGCAGGTGCAGCATGCGCGCCGCGGCGAGCCTCCTGGCCGGCACCGGCGGGGATCGGACTCCTCCTCCTCCACCTCCTCCTCATCCTCATCCTCCTGCCTCATGCCTCGTCAGGTGTCGCCACTTTCGCGGGCTCCTGGGAGGCCCAGCGCAGAGGTGGCACAAGCACATCCAGACTAGAGCTCACGGCTTGTTGGGGGTGCCACCACGTGCGCAGGTACGGCAACTTTCGCTAGCTTTTGGGAAGCATGATACGCAGATCCAAACCAAATCTGGCAGCTGCCCTTGGGTTCTGCCACCTGCGCAGCTGTCGCCTCTTTCGTGAGCTCCTGGGGGGCCCAGACCAATGGTGCCACACGTACATCCAGGCTAGACCTCCCGGCTCTGTTGAAGTGATGCCACCTCCACAACTGTCGCCACTTTCGTGGGCTCCTGGGGGACCCAGCGCAATGGTATCATACGCACATCCAGACTAGACCTCGCGGCTCCCCAGGGGTGCTGCCATCTGCGCAACTGTCGCCACTTTTGGTGAGCTCCTGGGAGATCCAGCTCCGCAACGCAGAAATAGCGAGCGGCGCTGCCACTCTCACTGTTTATTCAGACCTCCTCCTCCTTCTCCTTTCCCTCCTCCTCCACCTCCTCTTCCTCCTCACACTCATCATCAGCATCATCATAATCAGCAGCATCAGCATCAGCATCAGCATCATCGTCAGCATCAGCATCAGCATCAGCATCAGCATCATCATCATCATCATCATCATCATCATCATCATCATCAGCATCATCATCATAATAATAAGCATCAGCAGCAAAATCAGCATCAGCGTAAACATCAACACCTTCATCATCAGCAGCAGCAGCATCATCAACATCAGCATCATCATCAACATCAGCATCATCAGCAACAGCATCATCATCAGCATCAGAATAAACATCATCATCATCATCATCATCATCATCATCATCAGCATCTTCATCAGAATCAGCATCATCATCAGAATCAGCATCATCATCAGCATCATCATCGTCATCCTCTTCCTCCTCTTCCTCATCCTCCTTTTCCTTCTCCTCATCCTCTCCCAGTCCTCCTGCTCTGTGTCTGATCGTCGCCATTGTGCTTACGTGTATCTACGCTCATGACTCCCGTTCCCCATCAAAATGGGAGGTTCGCCATCCTCGTACCTCCACCCGCGTCCCCGACGTTATTCGCCCCTTCCATATACGTGTATGTTCCTACACCCGTCCGCCTCAATCATTGTCATGGTCATCGTTGCCATGCCGTCTTCTTTCCGTCACATGTTCTAGGATGCTGCATCATTCAAGTATGTCCCCGGCGAGCCGTGGAGCGCGTAAGCCCCCGCTGTAGCTGTCCAAACACATCGCGGCCACTGCCACGTGCACCATCAGCAGACAGCCGACCAACTGCTGTGGTCACTCGATGCAGATGGTTTGGGTGCGTCGCATGGCATGTCATGCAGTGGCCTCCCGACCCGCTCCGCAGGGCCGGCGTCGCACTGCTGCCCACACTGGGCGTTCGCACTGCTCCTCCTCCTCCTCCTCCTCCTCGTCTTTGCCCGCGTCCTCCTCCTCCTCCTCCTCCTCCTCCTCCTCCTCCTCATGTCGTTGTTCCTACGACTCCTCCCCCTGCTCCCTGCTGCCTGCTGCGTCAGGCCCCCTCTTATGCCTTAGCCTCCTCCGCTCTCCGCCCCCCGTGCGTCCTCACTACATGCCTCCACATCTTCCCCGTCTTCCCTCTCCTTCCCTCACTCACTCCTTCCCGCCTCCCTCCGCCTCCACCCCCCTCTTCCTCCTTCCCCCCCCCAACCTGTCTCGCCCTCTCTCGCCAAACTATCTCGCCCTCACTCCTTCCCGCCTCCCTCCGCCTCCATCCACCTCTTCCTCCTTCCCCCCCCAACCTATCTCGCCCTCGCCCTCTCTCTCTCCCTCTCTCTCCCTGCCCTTCTCCCCCTCCCCCCCCCCAGTTCTCCCTGCCGTTCCCCCCTTCCCCCTGCCGCAGAGGGGCGGAGAGAGCGCAGTGTCGCCACGTCGCCTCCGCGCAGGGCAGGGCGCCCTCGGCCTGTGGGTCGAGCCGGCGGCCCAGAGGCCCTTGCTATCAAGTACAGTCGGGGCGCTGAGACCTAAGGAACCCTAAATAAGGAACGGGGCCCCTTTCTCCCAGAAGTTGAACTTCGATTTCCCATGGAAAACCTCCGGAAAACGGAAGGCAAACTGTGGAACAATCAAGGAACACCGGGCCCCTCCCCAGCGGAAAGGGTTCCTTCTGCAGGGCCCCGGCTGTAGGAGAGAGGACGGCAGGGGGAGGGCGAGGGAGGGACGGGAACGTGGGCAAGGAAGAGGAGAGCAGCGGAGGAGGACGCGGAGGAGCACGCATGGAACCAGAGCAGGCTCTCGTCCATGCTGCCAGTTCTGACTCCAGCTTCCGCATCTGTTTGACATGCCACCCCCAGATATGCGCAATCGGTCTTTTGTGTTGTATGAGCCTGGGCGCCCACGCACCTCCTTGTTGACACTGGCCGCGTCAGAAATGATGTTGGTATGGGCGTGACTGCAAGCGCCAACCGTTCGATGCGGTTCCAGCGAGCTCGACGAGCGACGGCTGCCTCGAGACATCATGGAACATCTGGCCTCGACGCGGCTGGTCACCTGCCAGCCAGCACTACAATGGTTCACGGAGGAGCCACAAGCTTTGAGCGTGACCATAGCCTTCAGAAGCTTGACACTCGGCGCACGATAGGGCAAGCTTACCGTGACTGTTCGCCCAGGAATATGCACATCCGCCTGTATACAGCATAAGCGAATAAGTATAAGTATGCATGTATGCATGTATGTACATGTGTCCCGAACCATGTGATAGCCGATCACGGACGGACCCGAGCCACCAACCCAAGGGGAACCAAGAGGAGAGGGAACGTGATTGGGATAACTCTCAAGCAGTTTAAAAGCATTGGAAACAACATGTGCGATAAGTTCAGTCCAAACTGTGACAGCAATAGCGTTACGTCTGATGCGAGTCAGACCTGGTTCGTGACTTCTATCGGGCAATTTCACGCTTGGCATACATATCTGCTAGTGATTGGGCACGGGTACGCCACACCGGCTGTCCTTCGTTACCATCAGCTATATGGGCATTGACCTCATGCACGTTGGTAAGCTCATTTCCTATATCAGTGGCCAATGTGTCTAGCATACCAGGGATCGGCGTTGACAGCCATACCAGAGCACAAGGTAATTGTTTTGGGGGGACAGATGTATCCACCTTCCACTGACAGTCTGAAAACAATACCCGAGAAGATCCCAAGGAGCACTGTTCCTGAGAGATATGGAAAAAAAGCAAGCGGTTCGGCACCTGGAACGTCCTGCACGAGACTAGGGAAAATGCCAAAAACTACGAACAGGGTTCCGAAGACGGTTCACCGATGCAACAGAGAATCCACACCAGACGGTGCGGGGTGAAGGGCCATGCACACCTGACCCGTCGCAAAAAGCTGGCGATGTAAAGACATGCCCCTGAACCCCCTGTCCCACTCCAATCCTACACCTCTGTATAGATAGATCAACAAAGGGGTGGGCAAGCAGAAGCTCGGGGCCAGAAACACAGGGAATGTACCATAATGGGTCATAGGGGATGGTTTTGTTGTACCCGTCGGATGAAGGGATATGGAGCAGGACAATACACAACCAGATGATGAGTAGCCACCCGAAGATCCTGAGAGTTATAATCATAAACAGAAAGGGATAACCTCAGATATCAAGGTCCCGTCTGAAGCCGCCTTCAACGCATTGGACTGGGATTGGGTCCATCCAGGTAGCGGCCCTTTCGTGATGGTGCGGATGGGTTTCAGAAGAGGTGCCCCTGACAAGTGCTGCATCAACGGGTGCCGAGCAGAAAACTGCCATTAGAGCGATAGCTCAACATCCCGGCACATGTCTAGGTGACATAATCGCTCTATCGAGCTTGTGTCCAGTAACAATTTTCCATGCCGTGGGGGGGTCCACAGCCCAACAAAGACGAAGCCGCTGACCCAAGACAGCCCCGGAGGGCCCCAAGACGACCGGAGAGGGTCCCAAGACGGCCCCAGAAGCGCCGAGGGATGGCAAAGAAAGGGGCCCCGCCAGGGCCCCAAGAGGAGCCCCGGGAGGGGCACCCCGAGAGGACAGTCCGAAGCCTCCGCCCCCAGAGAGCCCCCGAGGCCGCCTGGAGGCGTCGGGGCAACGCCTCGCAGGCCCGAAGAGCGCCCCAAGGGAGGCCCCGAAGGCCCCCCCCCTCCCCGAGGGGCCCCGCCCGTGGACGCCTGCCCTCGTCCGGGGGTCGGCAGGATGGCGCGGGCGTCGTGAATCGGAGCGGCCACGACCGCGGAGCACGACCACACCTGGGCATCGCTCGGGCGTCCATTCCCTGTGCTTGTTTTGATTTCGCGCGTGGTTTTTCTCCAGATGATCAAAGATGCTCCTCGATGGTCCTCGCCGAAGGAACAATGCACACGTCCGAGCGATGCCAAGACACTCAGGGGGCCACATGCGAACCCTGCCCCTACCCCCCACGATTTCTGAGGGGGAGGGCGGGGCTCACTTCGCTCGGGAGCTCACGAACGAAGTGAACCCCACCCTCCCCCTCAGAAATCGTGGGGGGTAGGGGTAGGGTTCGCACGTGGCCCCCTAACACTGCTCGTTCCAGTGGGTATACGAGCAGATACTTCAGGGCTGAACCTAAACGGTGCTGTTCGTTCTCGTTGTGCGTTCGTTTTCCCTCGGTTTTGTTTTCAATCCGCCTCTGCTGCAAAACGAAGTCGAAACGAAAACGGCCCACGCAATCACCAGAAACACCGTTTGGGTCCAGCCCTGAGATACTTTACTGTGGTATGCCCAAGCATCGAACATCGCATTTGGCAAAGAACGGTCCCACCCGCATGCGCACCACAGGACACGAAGATCCGTGTCCAGGCACTGCTGGATTAACTACTTTGTGCGGTGCCATGGATCGATTCGGACGGGATATCCTAAACACATGGCAGTCCTTGCGGACTTCGTGCATGTGCGCAGATGAGATGCCAATAACATGTGCCCGACACATATACTGGGCGAACTGCAGCTCTCGACACATGTTGAACCCGAACTATGGCTTTCCTGGGCTGTGCCGTACTCTGGGCACACTGCTTAAACCTCAGACATCTCAAGACCATGTAAACGCACAACACGGACAAGACCCTTACAAGGACGATGGGTATGATACGCGCAAAAGGCTCCTAGTTACAGAACGAGGTGCCTTGAATAAGGACGGTACTTCCTCAACAACAGTTCTGGACAAGTCAGGATCAGAGGACAGCCAGACGAGCTTGGGAAAGGACTGATGAAATTGAGATTGACGAAGCCTGTCAATCAAGCCTGTGGACACCTTGGGCATCCGTTGCACGACGAAGCGAATGGCTCCGATGAAAATGCACTGGGTATCATCCGCCACGATACCACAATAGACAAATATGTGAACTCCTGCTCTAAGACGCTCACGGACACGACCATGGATTGCAAAAAGAGGTCAGCAAACGCAAACCCTTTTCATGGTGCCAGGGAGGCCAGATGAGTCGCCGATGCAGAACACGCAAGAACTGAAGAAGTAGTCAAAATTCCAATCCACGCTGGGCAAGGATGCGATGGAGGAGATGTTCAATTGTCTTGGAGGTGTCCAGTAGTAGACTACATGAGATCCACCCCCGAGACTGAGCCGACACAGCCAATACGGGGTGTTGCCAACACACACCTCAAACATGACTTTCCTGCAACCCCGAGGACATTTGTGAACCACCTTGTACTCCCCAAACTTGCCCCAAGAGGGACGGTACCACCGTGAAAAAATTACCCTGCGACGTACCCAACCCACGTGCATCAAATGGCAAGAGGAGTATGCCAACATTAGCAGGAACAACGACAGTGTAGACGCGGCGATTTGCTGCGCAAGCTACATGGGATGCGCATGCGCTGCACGATTCACAGGACGACTATCGAAAGAACGAGGCTTGAGGCCCCAGGATCGAAGAAGAACGGGCACGGGAACGAGGGGTAGGAGAGGGATGGAATGGAGGGCGGGGGGGGCGAAAGGCCATCGCGGAAGCAGCAGCATGCATGGAGAAGGTGAGGCGGGGAATAGGACGACGATGAAAGTGGCGGGAGGAGACAGAAGACTGCCGCGTTTTTCAAGTGCGAGCTAAACCCGCAGCGCTGCCTGCGCCATGTCGTCGCAGAGTTCCACATGATAAAACTTGCTTAGAGTGCAAGGACGAGCGAGGCGTAGCTCGCCCGCTAGCTTCTCCGCCTCCTTCCCGCGCATTTCAGCGCGGGAGCTGAACGCTCGCAGGCGCGCCGCCAGGTCTGCGGGCGGCCCGCGGGAAAGAAACTCAAGGCCGGGGTCGCGTATCATCAATCGGTTGTCCATCGTCCAAAGTTGCACTGGCGACGTACTGCTTGAACGCGGAGCGAGCGGTATCACGCGCGCGCCTGAACGCCACGCAGGTATAACGCACGCGCGATTGGGACTTCAGGTCGATCACGCGCGTCTCCACCAGGCTTGGCAACACCACGCGACTGAGGATCTCACTGCGGTCTGCCATGCTGCTGTCCGCGAATGCAATGCGCTGCCTGCAAGTAAGGCGGCGGCGTCCACTTGTCTCAGAAGATGTTCCCGCGGGCCCGAAGGGCGACCGCCAGCTCGAGCCGCGGCGCCGGCAGGCCAGATAAGGATCATGCAACAGCAAAGACGATGACAGAGCAACGAGGTATCGGCGAGTGCATGACCGGCCTCCGTTTCCTGCACTTTTTCCTGTAGTTCCCCTAGCTCATCGAGCTCAGCAGATGTTTCTGCGGGTCCGAAGGACGACCGCCAGCTCGAGTCGCAGCGCCGACGAGCTGCATCCACATCAGGCAACACCCCAGGAGACACTGGCACACAACGATTTGACGTCAGTCAGTGCCAGACCACTCCATGTCTAGTTCCTCGCACACATACAGTCGATCGCAGATGCGGGATAATCGAAGTAGAATGACGGGTCCAATCTGCGTCCGCGTAGCACGTCACTATGATGGACCCCGCAGCAGGTCTCGAAAGTGGCGACAGTTTCATGGGCCCCACAGCAGCCCTCGAAAGTGGCGACAGTTTCACAGATCGTAGCCCCCCAGCGCTGGCGAGGTCTAATCTGAGTCCCCGTAGGACGTCACTCCGCTGGCCCCCCAGCAGCCTTCAAAAGTGGCGACAGTTTCACAGATCGCAGCCCCCCAGGGATGGCGAGGTCTAATCTGAGTCCCCGTGGGGCGTCACTCCGCTGGCCACCCCAGCAGCCTTCGAAAGTGGCGACAGTTTCACAGATCGCAACCCCCCAGGGATGGCGAGGTCTAATATGAGTCCCCGTAGGGCGTCACTCCACTGGGCCCCCCACGCAGCCTTCGAAAGTGGCGACAGTTTCACAGATCGCAGCCCCCCAGGGATGGCGAGGTCTAATGTGAATCCCCGTGGGGCGTCACTCCGCTGGGCCCCCCACGCAGCCTTCGGAAGTGGCGACAGTTTCACAGATCGCAGCCCCCCAGGGATGGCGAGGTCTAATCTGTCTAATCTGAAGTCCCCGTAGGGCGTCACTCCGCTGGGCCCCCCAGCAGCCCTCGAAAGTGGCTGACAGTTTCACAGATCGCAGCCCCCCAGGGATGGCGAGGGTCTAACTCTGGGCCCCCCAGCAGCCCTCGAAAGTGGCGACAGTTTCACAGATCGCAGCCCCCCAGGGATGGCGAGGTCTAATCTCCGCGCTGGGCCCCCCAGCAGCCCTCGAAAGTGGCGACAGTTTCACAGATCGCAGCCCCCCAGGGATGGCGAGGTCTAATCTGAATCCCCGTAGGGCGTCACTCCGCTGGGCCCCCCAGCAGCCCTCGAAAGTGGCGACAGTTTCACAGATCGCAGCCCCCCAGGGATGGCGAGGTCTAATCTGAGTCCCCGTAGGGCGTCACTCCGCTGGCCACCCCAGCAGCCTCGAAAGTGGCGACAGTTTCACAGATCGCAGCCCCCCAGGATGGCGAGGTCTAATCTGAGTCCCCGTAGGGCGTCACTCCGCTGGCCCCCCAGCAGCCCTCGAAAGCGGCGACAGTTTCGCAGATCGCAGCCCCCCAGGGATGGCGAGGTCTAATCTGAGTCCCCGTAGGGCGTCACTCCGCTGGCCACCCCAGCAGCCCTCGAAAGTGGCAACAGTTTCACAGATCGCAGCCCCCCAGGGATGGCGAGGTCTAATCTGAGTCCCCGTGGGGCGTCACTCCGCTGGCCACCCCAGCAGCCCTCGAAAGTGACGACAGTCTCGCAGATCGCCGCCCCCCAGGGATGGCGAGGGGCAAGCTAGGTAAAAGGCAAGCGAGAAGAGGACGAGCAAAGAGAGGAGGAGAAGGGAAGCAAGAGAGGAGAGCAGGAACGAAGAGAGGAGGAGAGGGGGCGGGAGGAGGAAGGTGGAGACCACAGTGCTCTATTCAAAACGAGTACCCAACGCAGGAGGGTTGGGAAAAACAGAACGGTGGACGTGGAGACTGCAGCTGGACGATCCCCAGAGCTAGCCGGAAACAGGGCCATAATAATCCTTGCCAAGATGCTGGGTGTCTTACCCAGGAGAAGCATAGCCCGCCAAGTCACAGCCAACGCCTGAAGAGCCTGGTCGGAGCAAATACTGGAAGTGCCGAGGGTGTACCCAATCTGCTCCAACTGCGGTTCTCGCCTTGTCACTTTGGAATAGCTTGCGGAACTTTCCTGGGCGGAGGAAAACGGAGGAAGGGAGAGCATCCAGAATTCTGCATCTTTGCACTTTCTGGCTTCTTCTAGCCGCCGGAGACATCCTGAGGCCTCCTAGGACCTCCGCGGTGATTTCCTGAGACCTCCTGGGACCTCCGGGAACCTCTGGAGACCTTCAGAGAGCTTCCTTTGAGAATCAGAAGACGGCAAAAATATACACACGTTCGGAAGCTCACGCGGATATCTTGGGTCGTCGCTGGACAACTCTGCCCGGCGCAAGAGGCGCCGCCCTGGGGCGTGAGGAGGGGAAGTCGATGCCGACACGACGAAGCGCTTCCAAAAAGTCTACACCGCTGTGGAAAGGATGATCATCCCCGACGAATTGTCGGCAAAATCCCGATAACTGACTACCTACCACACCACCCCAAGCCAACCGGAAAAGACCCGAATTTGACTCGAATTTCGGGTTGGGGGGGTACGGGCTCAATGTGAATTTTCAACATTCCCCGACCCCCCCCCCACCACACTGGAAACGGAGGCAAATTGAGGTCTTCGGGTTGGGTTGGGGTGATTTGGTCGGTGGTGAATAACAGAGTCGCGCGCTCCTGGGCAGGGTGGGGCACCCAATCCCCGAGCGGCGACGAAGGAGCTACTGCGGGTCGATCTCTTTCACCCCTTTTCGTCGCCCGACCGCCTGCGTGGAGGAGCCCACCGCCTGCGCATCCGCGTCGCCAGTGGCGGTGGCGCCGGAGGCGGCTGCTGAAGGCCTCTCTGGGGGAGCTCGCGCCGCAACCCTGCGAGGAGGGGCCCCTCGATCGCCTCGCCTCTTGGCCCGCCGATGGATATCCCCACCCCCCTCTTCCTCCTCGTCCTCCTTCTCCTCCTCTTCCTCTCCCTCCTCCTCCTCCCCCTCCTCCTTCCTCCTCCTCCTCCTCTTCCTCCTCTGCCTCCTCATCCTCCTCTTCCTCCTCTTCCTCCTCCTCCTCTTCGTCCTCCCCCTCCTCATTTGGGGCCTATAAAGAGCGAGTTTGGAAAGAGGGTCTATTCAATTGATGATTATTGGGTTTACACTGGTTGTCCTCCTCCTCCTCCTCTTCTTATGTTTCTTCACTTTATGCTGCCAGTATTATTGTACGTCTCGTAAAAATATTCACGTAAGTAATAGTAGTAATATATATATATATATGAAAACTGTAATACGAGTACTAGAATTGGTATTAGTATTAATAGTAGTATTAGTAATAGTAATAGTATTAGTATTCGTATTAGTATTAGTATTAGTATTAGTATTAGTATTAGTATTAGTATTAGTAGTAGTAGTAGTAGTATTAGTATTAATATTAGTATTAGTATTAGTACGTTAGTATTAGTATTAGTATTAGTATTAGTATTAGTATTAGTATTAGCATTAGTATTAGTATTAGTATTAGTATTAGTATTAGTATTAGTATTAGTATTAGTATTAGTATTAGTATTCGTATTCGTATTAGTGTTAGTATTAGTATTAGTATTAGTGTTAGTATTAGTGTTAGTATTAGTATTAGCATTAACAATATTGCTAATACCATTAACTATAAATACGTGTTCTTATGATCCTTCCTAGTATGATCAATGATCGTATGCGCGGTAGCCGTAATAGTATTATTCTTCGTAGTGTGAATATGATTCGTCTTACCAGTATATGTATTCTTCTTGATACTAAAAACAAATTGGTAGTTATTTAAATATTCAAATGGTAAATATAAAAATGAATCGAGTATATTATGTATCGCTCTAAATATAACTAATATGCATATTCATCTCCAATTATTAATCGAATTGCCGATTACTAATAATATGAAAAATCCGCCGGCCCCCTTGTGGGGCCACCAGGCTGTGGGACGAAGGTTCGCAGTTTCCTGCACCAGTTGCAGCTTCCAATTTCCACTGTTACAGTTCTGTTTCTTGCTGCTCACTGCTCCTTGTTGACTTCTTGCTGCTTACTGTTCCTTGTTGATGGACCGCGCGAGGGGGGGGGGCCCAAAACGAGCATTTTTACAACGCCCTGAGCATGTGCTCTGAATTGCTGGGGTGGGTGAAAATTCACACGCCTCACGCAGATCGGCGGGGTCAGGCTCCAAAAACAAATGGGTTTTGCCACAGTTCTAAAATTCGGAGACACCCCTCACGCAGATCGGCAGGGTCGGGGTCCAAAAACATATGGGATTTGCCACATGTTTAAAATTCGGCGGCAACCCTCACGCAGATCGACGGGGTCAGGGTGCAAAAATATATCGGATTTGCTACATGTCTGAAATTCGGCGGCACCCCTCACGCAGATCGGCGGGGTCAGGGTCCAAAAACATATGGGATTCGCCACATTTCTTAAATTCGCCGGCATCCCTCACGCAGATCGGCAGGGTCAGGGTCCAAAAACACATGGGATTTGCCAAATGTCTGAAATTCGGCGGCACCCCTCACGCAGATCGGCGGGGTCAGGGTGTAAAAACACATGGGATTTGCCACATTTCTGAAATTCGGCGGCACCCCTCACGCAGATCGGCGGGGCCAGGGTCCAAAAACATATGGGATTTACTACATTTCTGAAATCCGGCGGCACCCCTCACGCAGATCCGTAAGGTCAGGGTCGAATAACACAAAGGATTTGAAAAATTTCTGAAATTCGGTGGCACCCGTGAGGCAGATCCATAGGGTCAGGGTCGAAAATCAAACAAGTCCCGACACGGCTTCACGGCGGCGCCCAGACCTCATGATTTAGCTTTTGCATCTCCCATTATCCGAGACAAAGGGCCGGCGGCATGGGGCGATGCCCTTACGGTATAACAGTCTCATTAGCACTACTGGCATTCGCTTTATTGTTATGACCGGTATTATTAGCAATAACAATGACGATATTATTAATAAGTTCCTCCATTCCCGGAGTAATAGCATTAGCATTTGTACGAGTAGTAGTATTCCTATGATTGTTCTCTTATTGATATTATTACCCTTCGTACTACTAGTATTATCTGCATTGTCACAGTATTATTACTCGTAATAGTAAATCATTATGGTTTTCTCTGGTATTACCATTCGCTTTAGAATTCTTAGTTATCGTATTCGTACTGTTGTCATTATTCTGAGAAGGTTGAATATTCCTCTTCTGCTTAATAATATTTGTGTTATGAATATGCTTATGTGTCTTTCTTCGACCTCCTCCTCCTCCTCCTCCGCCTCCGCCTCCTCCTCCTCGTCCACCTCCTCCTCCTCCTCCTCCTCCTCCTCCTCCTCTTCCTCCTCCTTCTCCTTTTCCTCTTTCTCCTCCTCCTCCTCTTCCTCATCCCCCCCATCCTCCTCCTCGTCTCTCTCCTCCTCCTCCTCCTCCTCCTCCCCGGCCCTCCTCTTCTCCTCCTCCTCCTCCTCCTCCCCGGCCCTCCTCTTCCGCCTCCTCATACTCCTCCCCCCTTCCTCCTTTTCCTCCTCCTCCTCCAGTCCTCCTCCTCCTCCGCCTCCTCCTCCCTTTTCCCTCCTCCTCCTCCGCCGCCTCCTCCGCCCCCCTCCCGCCTCCTCCTCCTCCTCCTCCTCCTCCTCCTCCTCCTCCTCCTCCTCTCCTCCTCTTCCTCCTCCTCCCTCCTTTCCTCCTCCTCCTCCGCCTCCTCTTCCTCCTCCGCCCCCTCCTCCTACTCCTCCTCCTAATTCTCCTCCCATTCTCCCCTCCTCCTCCTCAGCTCCGCCTCCTACCTCCGCCTCCTCCCTCCTCCCCTCCGTCCTCCTCCTCCTCGCTCCTCCTCTCCTCCTCTTCTTCCCTCCTCCTCACCCTCCTCTCTCCCACCCTCCTCCTCCCCGTCCTCCTCCTCCTCCTCCTCCTCCTCCTCCTCCTCCTCCTCCTCCTCCTCCCTCCTCCTCCTCCTCCCCCTCCTCCCCCTTCAACTCCTCCTCCTCATCCGCCCTCCTCCTCCTCCTCCTCCTCCTCCTCTCCTCCGCCTCCTCCCTCCTCCTCCTGTTCCCCCCCTCCTCCCCCCTCCCCCTCCCCCCCCCCTCCTCCTCCTCCTCCTCCTCCGCCTCCTCCTCCTCCGCCTCCTCCTCCTCCTCCTCCTCCTCCTCCTCCTCCTCCTCCTCCTCCTCCTCCTCCTCCTCCTCCTCCTCCTCTCCTCCTCCTCCTCCTCCTCTCTCCTCCTCCTCCTCCTCCCCTCCTCCCCCTTTTCCCCCCCTCGTCCCTTCCTATCCGGAATTTCTCCCTGTCGCACCCCGAGGCAAGTTTTCAGGGCGGGCCAGGTGGTGCGCCTGAGACTTCCTCACTACTTATGACCCTGGAAACGACTAATCCCACCAGCCCTTTCGGCCTAGATGGTTGACGCGTTGGTTTCTTCTCTCTTTCACTGAAACCCCTCCCCCCATACCCCCCCCCCCCCCCCCGGGCCTGACGGGGCGCGCCGCGAGGCTTAGGGCGCCCAAGATGGCCCAAGATTGCTCCAAGAGGCGTTGAAAGTCGCAAGCTGGCCTCCAAGGTGGCCTATGTGACCTCAAGATGGGTCAAGATAGCCTCCGACCTACCCCCAAGAGGCCCCAAGGCAGCCCCAAGACGGATCCAAGTGCCCTTCAAGCCCTCCACGGCGCTCTCCAATGTTTTTGGCAGTATCGCCTTTTTTCGTTTCCGATGGGAATTGGAAGCCTCAAGATGGCCCCATGATGCCCCAAAAGAAGCCCAAGAGGGGCCCAAAATGGCCGAAGACGGCCCCAGGATCGCCCAAGAGGCGCCCAAATAGCGCTCCAAGAGGGCCCCAAGATGGCCTTTGAAGCCTTCGATGGGGGGGGGGAGAGAGGGGGGGGGGAGGGAATCTCCCCCCCCCCCCCCCCCTCTTTTTGAGCCATGGTGCCCAGAGAGACGCCCCAAGAGGCTCCCAGACACCCCAAAAGAGCCCCAAGAGGGCCCAAAGACTCCTCCCAATACTACCCTCAAGAGGGCCCCAAGAAGGCCCCTCGACAGCCTCTAGCCGAGCATGGCTTCAAATATAGCGCCGAAAGAGGCCATCAAGAATGCTGGCAATAAATTCTGGATGGCTGATGGGGATACTTCGTGGTCGGCGGCTCCGAGGCAGCGGACAGGGAGCGGTAGGCGTCGTCTGGGCCAGCAGGCGAGGCGAATTAGCTACAACAGGCAACGCGCCGGCAGTAATAAATCGCAAAGAATGCGAGGTGTGCACATGCACTGAGCAGAGTGCCCCGCATTAAGGCGAACGCACCTAGGCGCCAGCCACGCCGAGGCGACGCAGACCGCAGTGGTATGCAACGGGGAGTCGCCCTGTCGGCGCCAGCCCGCGCAGCCAACCTAGCCGAAGCGGACAAGTAGAACCAAAGCGACACGCTGAAGGCTGAACCACTGCTGGTGGGGATACGCGAAGCGTCAAGAATTAGCCTGGCGAAGGACCCAACCATATGCAGTTGTGAATACCGCAATTGTGAATACCATCTTCGCCCGCGCTCCCTATGTGGCCACGGCTTCCCGCCGGAGCCCGACATGCTCAGGAACACGTTCGTGGCCGTCTTCGCGGGCGCCGACGACGACAAGGACGGCGTCCCTCTGACCGAGGAGCAGAAGCAGGAGAGGGCTTTGAGAGCCATGAGGGAGGAGGTGTCGGTGCACGTCGACAAGGCGGAGTACGACGCCCAGGCGCGGTTGTTGAAGCAGCACAACTATGGGGCCACGATCCTCGTGAGGGGTGTGCCGAAATGGCCCGGGGCCGCCATGCGAACCCTGCCACTGGGGCCTTCGGTGGAGCTCCTTATGGGGCCACGATCCTCGTGAGGGGTGTGCCGAAATGGCCCGAGGCCGCCATGCGAACCCTGCCACTGGCGCCTTCGGTGGAGCTCCCTATGGGGCCACGATCCTCGTGAGGGGTGTGCCGAATGGCCCGAGGCCGCCATGCAACCCTGCCACTGGGCCTTCGGTGGAGCTCCCTATGGGGCCACGATCCTCGTGAGGGGTGTGCCGAAATGGCCCGAGGCCGCCATGCGAACCTGCCACTGGCGCCTTCGGTGGAGCTCCCTATGGGGCCACGATCCTCGTGAGGGGTGTGCCGAAATGGCCCGAGGCCGCCATGCGCCTGCACTGGCGCCTTCGGTGGAGCTCCTATGGGCCACGATCCTCGTGAGGGGTGTGCCGAAATGGCCCGAGGCCGCCATGCGCACCTGGCGCCTTCGGTGGAGCTCCCTATGGGGCCACGATCCTCGTGAGGGGTGTGCCGAAATGGCCCGAGGCCGCCATGCGAACTTTGCCACTGGCGCCTTCGGTGGAGCTCCTATGGGGCCACGATCCTCGTGAGGGGTGTGCCGAAATGGCCCGAGGCCGCCATGCGCACTTTGCTACTGGCGCCTTAGGTGCAGCTCCCTATGGAGCCGCGATCCTCGTGAGGGGTGTGCCGAAATGGCCCGAGGCCGCCATGGGAACCCTGCCACTGGGACCTTCGGTGGAGCTCCCTATGGGGCCACGATCCTCCTGAGGGGTGTGCCGAAATGGCCCGAGGCCGCCATGCGCACTTTGCCACTGGCGCCTTCGGTGGAGCTCCTATGGGGCCACGATCCTCGTGAGGGGTGTGCCGAAATGGCCCGAGGCCGCCATGCGCACTTTGCTACTGGCGCCTTCGGTGCAGCTCCTATGGGGCCACGATCCTCGTGAGGATGATGATGATGATGATGATGATGATGATGATGATGATGATGATGATGATGATGATGATGATGCTGCTGATGATGATTATGATTATGATGATGATGATGATGATGATGATGATGATGATGATGATGATGATGATGATGATGATGATGATGATGATGCGAGGATGAGGGAGGGGGCAGCGGGAGGAGGAAGGAACGCGGGGCGCTGTCTCTTCGAAACGAGGACCCAACACCACAGGATGATTGGGAAAAACGGCAATAGTTTCACAACATGTGCCCCTCGCCTCAGCGCCACGCACCGTCGCTTGAACAAGTTGCAAGAGCGTCACGGATTGAGGGCGGTCGTTTTCAAAATGTGGCTCTCGCCTGAGCGCCGCGCACATTCGCATTAAACGTCTGCAAGACCTTCACGGATAGATGGCGGTTCCTGTTCAAATTGTGGCTCTCGCCTTAGCGCCGCGCACACTCGTTGCAAAAAATGGCAAGGGTTTCACGGATTCCCATGATCAGCGTACCAGAAATTGTGTTTGGAAGGACTCCGGATTATGAGGGCGCAACATGTACGTTGATTCGCGGTGTTGAAGTCCCAGGAATGGTGTTCTGGCACGATTCACCACCGTCACGACGTAACAATCAGGTTGTGTGGGACCTGTGGAACCTGGGGGACAAATGGAACCTGTGGAACTGGGGAGAGCAGGGGGACAGAGGACAAAGAAGCAGAAGGCGAGGGAGGCGGGGAGAGGAGGAGATGGCGGAGTAGGAGGAGGAGGACGAGCTTATGTTCCCCGATGAGAGCTGGGGGGGGAGGCAACACTAAAGACCCTCTGGGGTTAATGACCACGGTGCGCCTCCTGAGCTTGGCGAAGCAATACCGTAATGGTGCAGCGCTGGACAACTGGGACCACATTCAAACATGCGCAATAACATTACATTCACGGGTTAGGGGGAAGAAAGAGCAGGAGTGGAAGGACGAGGGGGAGGAGGAGGGAGAGTGAAGGAGAGCAAGAGAAGAGAGCCTGTGGGACAACTGCCTCGGGCGTGGCCCACACAAGGACAGCACGGCCACACACAAAGGCGGCACGATGGCAGATAGCAGCTTCGACGAGCAACGCCATATCAGAGTGATTGAGCCGCCCCACACATTCAACAAACGTTCACAGACCATGACGGTGTGAACCAATGGGCGCGCTATCCCTGCATCTCGTCTTCTTTTCATTTGAATAGTGTGTCAATCCTCCCCGCGCATGCCTCGCTGACGCTTCAGCTCTGTCTGTACCGTCCTCCTCCTGCTCCACCTCATCATCATAATAACCAGCATCATCATCACCATCATCATCATCAGCAGCACCATCATCAGCAGCATCAGCATCATCATCATCATCAGCATCATCATCATCACCATCATCATCAACAGCATCATAATCATCAGCATCAGTATCATCATCAGCATCACCATCAGCAACATCATCATCAGAATCAACAGCATGTGGATCATCGTCGTCATCGTGGTCATCACCATCATCACCATGACCACCACCACCATCATCACAATCACCATTATCATCAGCATCACCATCATCTTCATCAGCATCGTCATCACCATCATGATCATCAGCATCATCATCACCATCACCATCAACATCATCATCAGCATCAGCATCGTCATCATCAGCAGTCTACACTGTCCTCCTATTCCGCATGATTATCATCAACATAATCAACAACATCATCATCATCAACCTCATCATCATCAGCAGCACCAGCAACATCAACATCATAGTCATCATCGCCATCAGCATAATAATCAGCAGCGTCAACATCATCAACATCACCATCATCATCACCATGACCACCATCACCACCACCACCATCACAATCACCATCATCATCATCTGCAGCATCAGCATATCAGCATCACCGTACTCATCACCATCATCATCACCACCGTGGCCACCACCCCCACCATCATCATGATCACGTTCATCATCATCAGCATCATCATCATCATCAGCATCATCATCAGCATCATCATCAGCATCATCATGAACAATCACCATCGTCATCATCATCATCAGAATCAGCATCACCATCGTCGTCGTCATCATCATCACCATCACTGCCAGCATCACCACCACGGCCACCATCATCATCATCATCATCAGCAGCAGCAGCAGTAGCAGCAGCAGCAGCACCGGCAGCAGCAACATCATGACCACCTTTATCACCATGATGTCTGGTGGGGCGTCCGCGCCCTAAGAGGTCCCCAAGACGGCCCAGGAGCCCTCCAACACGGCCCAGGACGGCCACATAAGAGCCACAAAAGGTCCACAAGAGCTGACCAGATGGCCCCGAGATGCTTGTACCAAGCCTCTTCTGGAAAGCCCCGTAGAATCATCGCGTCCAACAGGTGCCCGAAAGGCCCTCTGGAAGGCCCCGAGAGGCCCCAAAGAAGGCCTCGAGAAGCCTCCAAGGACAAGGCGAGAACCGTGCCACGTCACGGCCACGCCACGCTATAGCATTGTAGTGATGATTCCAAGACGATCCACAGAGGCTCTACCAAGCCTGCTCGGGAGACCTGGGTACAATCGTCCTGCATGTTCGGTGGCAACTCATGGGAGCCTCCCATACCATCTCGTCGGCTCATGCAGATCGACGATCGTCGACGCTAGTCGACGCTAACCGACGCTAAATCGACACTGAATCGGCGCTATCTCGTCGACTCCCAAACGTCAATCGACGCTGGTCGACGCTAAAGACGGAGTTAAGAGGGTATACCAGGCTCCCATGACTTGCTACCGAGTGCATGCATTCCGATGCTGCACGGTCATGGCGGCCGCCAATCCACAAGAAAACCCTCCACAAGAAACCCAACCCTAAGACCCGAGGACGTCCATGGACTTTTTCGTGTGGGAACGTCACGCTCTCCATGGCCAAACCATCGAAGCCCAACAAAGCCAGGGCACCCTATGGGCCCCCATTCTGCAGCATGCCGCCCTCTCTTGAAGGGGCCCTGGGACACACAAACAAATACACACACACACATAAAATGACTCCCCACACCTTCCCATACTTTGGGGGGTTCCTGTCTTCCCCCCCACTGCCCACATTTTCCCATATTTCCTGCGGAATCGACGCTTCATTGTGCCTGTGTGTCTCTCCCCCTCCTTTCCCACACTTTCCCATACTTTTGGGGTTTCTGTCTTCCCCCCACTGCCCATATTTTCCCATACTTTCTGGGGAATCGATGATTCATTGTTCCTGTGTGTTTTTCCAATACTTTTGGGGGTGTCTGTCTCCCCCCCCCACTGCCCACATTTTCCCATATTTCCGGCGGAATCGACGATTCATTGTGCCTGTGTGTCTCTCCCCCTCCTTTCCCACACTTTCCCATACTTTTGGGGGTGTCTGTCTCCCCCCCCACTGCCCACATTTTCCCATATTTCCTGCGGAATCGACGCTTCATTGTGCCTGTGTGTCTTTCCCCCTCCTTTCCCACACTTTCCCATACTTTTGGGGGTGTCTGTCTCCCCCCCCACTGCCCACATTTTCCCATATTTCCTGCGGAATCGACGCTTCATTGTGCCTGTGTGTCTCTTCCCCCTCCTGATCTCTGCCGCGAGGGCGGGGCACACCGGCGGCCTCTCGGGCGGGTCGGGCCGCCAGCTGGCCCCCGCGCCGCCGCAGCAGAAGGACCAGCAGGGCGTGGTGCCGCCTGCAGCGACATGCGGGAACAGCAGAAAGAGGGGAACAAAAAGTGGCCTCCTCCTCCCTCCTCCTCCCCCCTCCTCCTCCCCCTCCTCCTCCTCCTCCTCCTCCTCCTCCCCCTCCTCCGGGGCCGAAACCGGCTGCATGCAGCAGATTTCGTAACCCCCCCTTTCCCAATCCCCCCCCCTTTCGTCCGGCCCGAGGAACAACAGAAATAGGGGAACAAAAATTGGCATAAACATAAAAACTCGGAGGTCCGCGCGGATTTCTCGGATCGGCGCTGGGGCCCCCCGGCGGCGCCAGGGGCACCGCCCCTGGCGCGCTCCGCGCGCCAGGGAGGGGGCCCCAGCGCCGATCCGAGAAATCCGCGCGGACCTCCGAGTTCTTATGTTTATGCCACTTTCTGTTCCCCTATAAGGAGGCAAGCTCGCGCGAGCCGCCTCGCACGAGGCGTGGCCCCGAGACGGACCGGCTCTGGCCGTGCCGGCGAGGCGCTCGGCACACTGGGGAAAGGTGGCGAGGGAGGAGGCGACGACGCGCACGCCACCACGCGATGACCATGTGCTGGGGACGCGCTGTTCTGGAGCAGGCTCCCCAGAAGCCCCAAAGACTCTGACCGTGCTGGCGAGGTGCTCGGCACTGGGGAAAGATGGAGGGGGCGGAGGCGACGACGCGCACGCCACCACGCGATGACCATGTGATGGGGACGCGATGTTCTGGAGCAGACTCCCCAGAAGCCCCTCTTTCCCTGCCTAGGCTCTGCCTAGAAGGGTTCTTACTCTGTTGGCTTAAAGGGGCCGGGCAGTGGAACCCGCCCCGGGCGGTTCCCCCGGTCCCCTGGGAAAGATGGGGAGGGCGGAGGCGACGACGCGCACGCCACCACGCGATGCCCATGTGATGGGGACGCGCTGTTCTGGAGCAGACTCCCCAAAAGCCCCTTTCCTGAACTTGCGCACGTCCCGTCACTCACCATTGAGACGTGTGCCACCCGCTGTGCCCTGGCTCTGTAGCTCCCCTTGAGCGCGCAAGTGCAAGATGACATCGCTGCGTGGGCCGAAAACTGTGAGAGCGAGAACCTGTCTGTGCAGAAAGAGCATGATGGCCGCGAACCGGACCGAAGACCGAGAACCGGTCCTCGAACCGAACCGGCCGAACCGGACCGGCCCTCGACCCGGACCGGCAGAATCGGACCGAACCGGCCCGACGAACGGAACCGGCCGGACCGAACCGGCCCGACGAACCGAACCGGCCAAACCGGACGCGACCCCGCCGGCGGGTCCTGCAAGCTGGTCAAGCGGACCCCCCATGGACCCCCCAGGGACCCCCCAGGGACCCCCCAGGACTCCCGCCGGGTAGTGCACCGTTGCCGCGTCGGCTCCACCGTTGCTGAAGGCAGCCGCGCCAGGTCGCTTCGGCCAGCTCCCCCGTCGGAAGCTGGCGTCGATGGCGAGCGAGCCGCGCGCGCCCGCGAGGGCGCGCCAGCGCCGGCTGCCGGAGAGACGCCGCCGGCGCCAGCACTGCCGCGCGCCAGCGCTTCCGGAGACGCACGGCAGTACGGTGAGATGCTGCAGCAGAATTACGGTGGGATGCTGCGCGCGCTGCCGCCGAAGCCGCGGCCACCTGCCGCGAGAGCACCCGAGTTGGCCCCCGAGCCGGCGCCCGAGCCAACCTCCGCGCTCGCGCCTGCGGAGAGGATGCAGACGGTCCTGAAGGAGAGTGTTGTTTGCACTTGTTGCTCCCATCCTCAGGCCTCTCCAGCGGAGCTGGAGGTCTCGAGGCAGATCGAATGTGCAGAAGCTGCGGTGCTCCCGGCCCGCCATCTGCCCCTGTGGCCCGCCCCGGACCTCAAGGATTGCCCCTTGGACCCGTCGGGAGCCCAACCCCAGAGCCCCTCCTTCCAGGCACTCGGTCGAGCACGCTGAGGAGTGGTGCCGTCCCTCTGGGCTCCTTTCGGTCTGCCTCAGAAGTCGCAGACCTCTGCTGCATGTCCCACTCGAAGGTGGCGACGCCCCCCCAAAGGAGGGATGCACAGGCGAGGTGCCGTCAGCGTTTCGAGACGTTGCTTCCAGAGGCCGTCGTGTAATCTAGTTTCAGTGCTCTGACGGGTCGCCTCTTTTTGTGCGCGTGCGATGCAAGGCCATCACATGTATGGATCCGCTCAACCTTCTGGCGAGCAAGTGCACGCATCCTATGCGCAAAAGCCTTGCGAGACGGAAGTGAAGGGCTCTCAAGGGCAAGCACCCAAAGCGCGATCGCGTGGTGCCTGAGATATTTCTCCCGCGGAGTGAAGAGGCAGGCAGAGGGGCTGAGGAAGAAGATGAGGCGGAGAAGAAGGAGGAGAAGGAGGAAGAAGAATTCGCCGGCCCAACGGACCGGGCCAGAGGTGTGCTAATACCTCTGGTAGCAGGTTAACAGTGTTTCTAGTTCGCGCGCACGTGGCGGCCCCTGGGGACCCCTGGACGAAGAGTACCCTGGCCGATGCCAGGGCGATGCCTGGCCGATGCCCGGCCGATGTCCGGGCGATGCCCAGCTGACTCCCCCAAGGCGCTCCAGGAGCTCGCCAAGAGGGCGCTGGGACGCCACCTAATTATACGGCCCAAGAGGCCCCGAGTCGCCGAAAGATCGTTCCAAGACGCTCAAGGTGGTCTCCAAACGGCCCAACGGTCGCGACAAAGCTCCAAGAGAGCCTCAAGAGGCTCTCCAAGAGGGCCCGAACAAGCAAAAATCCTCCCATGCCCTCGAAAACGTACATCGTTCACATGTACGACGTTTGAGGGTTCACAGGGTCCAGACCTGCCCCAGAGGCTTCCAGCATCGTCCCCAGACGGCCCAGTGCGCCCCCAAGAGGGGCCCGACAGAGCCCACGAGGGCCCCAAGACGGCCCAAGAGGGTCCCAGGGCGGCCCAAGAGGCGCCCAAGACGGCCCAAGACAGCCCCAAGAGGGGCCCGAGAGGGGGAACACGAACCACCAACCCGAGCTTTCCGCCCCAAGAGGCCCGCAGGAGGAGGAGGAGGAGGAGGAGGAGGAGGAGGAGGAGGAGGAGGAGGAGGAGGAGGAGGAGGAGAGGAGGAGGAGGAGGAGGAGGAGGAGGAGAGGAGGGAGGAGGAGAGGAGGAGGAGGAGGAGGAGGAGGAGGAGGAGGAGGAGGAGGAGGAGGAGGAGGAGGAGGAGGAGGAGGAGGGAGGAGGAGGAGGAGGAGGGAGGCCCCCTAGAGAGAGCCCAGGAGGCCCCCCCTGGGAGGCCCCACGTGGCCCCCAGGAGACCCCAAGAGACGGGCCCCGAGAGGCCCCCCCAAGAGGCGCCCCACGAGGCCACGAACGCGCAGGCAAACGCCTGCGATGGCACAATACGACCGGGCGGAATGAACGAAGCGATTAGATCAGAAGAAGAAGAAGAAGAAGAAGACGAACAATTCGCCGGCCCAACGGGCCAGAGGCGTGCTAAGATCTCCTGTCACTGGTTTACAATTCTTCTAGTTGGGCCTACTAGTTGGGGCGCGCGTGGCGGCCCCTGGGGGTCCCCCGGCGAAAAGTACCCCGACCGTAGCCCGGGAAGGTCTGCTCAGAGATGGTTTTCCTCCTGGGTACGGCCTCCCAGGCCCCCCAGAGCGCGCCAAGAGGGCCCCAAGAGGCCCCCAAGACTGCCCAAGAGGCCCCCGAGACGCCCAAAGGACGCTCCAAGACGCCGAAGATGATCCCAAGACGGCCCAAGAAGCCGCCAAAACGCTCCAAGTGGCCTCCAAGAGGCCTCACAAGAGCGCCCCGAAGAGGCCAAAATCCGCCGACCCCTTCGGGATCATCGGCGTGTGAGATTCTTCCCCCTCCCCAAACCCCTCCCCCGGGAGCCTGGTCCGGTCGATTTGGAGGGGGGGGGGGCCCGGCCGGATTCCCCGGCGCGGCCCGGGGGGGGTCAACCGCTCCAGAGTCTGCTGGGGGGGGCCGAAAACGAGCCAAGAGGCTCCCAAGAAGCTCCCAAGACGGTCCAAAGAGGGCTCCGAGACGCTCAAGATGGCTTCCAGACGGCCCAAGATGCCGCCAAGACGCTCCAAGAGGCTTCCAAGAGGCCTCCCAAGAAGGCTCCAAGAGGCCAAAATCGTTGATTTGTATTGGTTTTTCCGAGATCTTCCCCCTTCTAGCTTTTTTGCGTTTCCGACGCTCCAAGACGGCGCAGGAGGCCCCCAAGACGGCCCCAAAACGACCGAAGAGGCCCCCAAGTGGGCCCCAAGACGGCTCAAGAGAGCGTCAGGACGGCCCAAGAGGGCCTCAAGACAGCCGAAGAGGGCCCCAAGAGGGGCCCAAGACAGGCTCCAGACGGAGACCACGAACCTCAATGTTTATCTCTCCGGCCCAAAAGAGGCCCCCAAGAGGCCCCAAGAGGCCCCCATGAGGCCCCCTAGAAGCCCAAAAGAGACCCTAAGAGGCCCCAAAACAGCTCCCCAGAATCCTCCAAACTGCCTCTCGTAGGCCTCCGAGAGGATTTTCACGATGGCGCCCTTCCGTCGCCGCCCTCGTCTTTCGCGTCGTGTTTGCCTGCTGTTTTTCACCCTCGTCTGTCGCCCCGTCTTCCCCCCCCTCAGCTTTCTGTGTCATCTTCTCTCCACCACCTCAACTTCCACCCTCTCCGCCTTTTGCTCCTCCCCCCGTCCTCGCTCCTCCACGTCCCCCTGTCCATCCCGTCCCCGGTAGTTAGATGCCTCGAAACTTCCGTGCCTTGTCGCAGTGCCCGTCACTTGGGTCCGCCGGGCGTGAGGCACAAAATATGCTTCAAAACGGGCTCCCAAAGGCACCGACACCGACACCATGAGCGAAGGCGACGCGCCGCGAGCCCCCCCAAGGGGTCGGCGGTGTGGCGCAAGCCCAAGAATCATAAAGTGTACGATGATGGCCCCAAGACGGCCCAAGACGGCCCTAAGACGGCCCGAGATGGCCCCAAGAGGGCCCAAAAAGAACCCAAGACGGCCCAAGAGGGCTCCAAGAGCGCCCACAAGAGCGCCTCCAGAGGCCAAAA